AGAGTAATCATAGAATTGCGTAGAATAGTACAAAATAGAATTAAATATTTTTATGTATTGACTAAGTTTCTGGTCTAAGATTTTTGATCAAAAATTGATATAAATGACAAGATTAGATAAAATATGTGGTATCACAAAATGTTTAAAATTGATATACATTGTAAAAATCATAGCCAAGATATTACGTTGATTTTAGTAATAATTTTACTTAATATATTAATTTTCTTCTAATTTTAGTATTTATTAACTTGTAACTTATTTTGACAAATATATTTTTTTTTGGCTTATAAACTATTTTATTTTGTTGATTGTTATATATTTATACGAACCTTATTGTTAATAATTATTAATATTTTTCTTCACATCTGAAAACTCAAAGTAACAAATATTTTCCTACGTTAATTAAAACTAGTAATGCGATTTCCAAATGTATTAAATTAAGCCAAGGCCACATCCTTAGAGACAGATGAACAGAGCATACACCAAGGGCTTCGCTTTAGCTTTTTAATTTGACTATTTTTTATAATTGTTCATCGGTATAAAAAAACAAATATGAATATTTTTTTAAAAGAAAAAACGAAATCAATTTTTAAGGGTCTTCCTATCTTACTCATTGAAGAAACCCTGTTAAAAGTCACACAAATTTTATTCGTAAGATAACGTACCATTTATGTCATTAAGAACCTGATTTACTTATATTATTTTTATTTATATGAAATCGCGCCATAAAACGCGTGACTGTCCAGGTGGTAGTTCGACGAGTCAATTGCCAAGTACTATGTCTTAAGTGCACCTGAATTATCAAATGAACACATTTTTGGTAAAACCCTCTGTATTTACCATCACACACTGTCCGATCAATCAACCGTCGTCACACTGCTACTCAACAGGCCAATAAATTCTAGGCCGAAACCGATTTTTTACAAAGAAATCAAAAGAACGATTTTGTATTTTTGTTTCCCGTATTATGCTTTTTTTTGTAATTCTTTTTGTTTGTCGATGAGTTAGTAACAGATCGATGACGTTTTATGCAATTGACCCGTCTATCACGGGCGTCACATGAGTAGGGTGTAGCATAATATTGCGTATTGGATGTCATTATCCGTTATAATGATTTTTATGGAGAGGACATGGACATAGACAGGGAGGTGCACGTCAAAAAGTGACGAATTGGGGACGCGTGCTTTCTCAATTGTCCCTTTGACTTGTTTTTTCCTGGTGCATTATTTTTATTAAAATTTTTCTAAAGATAAAATTTTAACGGGTGACCAACGACGGTCTACCGATCATCACGTGAACATCACCATTCAACCGTGAAAACAATGAAGACGATTTGGTTATGCATTTTAGCTATGTTTATAATAACATATCTACGCACCCTGCCAAAAACCTAAGAATTCATTTCCATTTTTTAAAATCTAATATTTGAAATTTTCAAATTTAGATATATTGTAAGTTCGCTTTCGATGTACGTTTGTTTTTGTTAGAATCGATGTAAAGGTATCTTTTTAAACTAAAAAGATTATAGAAATTAATGAATAAAAATTGAATGTGTTGTATAAAGTAAATCGGTTCAATAAGATAAATTTAAAGAACAAAAGTAAAATAACTATGTGTAAGGTCTAAAAACCAAAGTCTTCATGTTTTTATACTTTTAGATTAAATAAAAGAAAAGGATACAACAAGTATGAACCAAATTAATTTATTGCGAGATCTTAATAAAAAATTTACTATACATAATTACATTTAATATTAAAGTCGAGTTACACTGGTACAATAATTTAAAAAATTAAAACACTACTTCAATTTCAATATTAACATTTAACACACAGTACCGTATCGTTAATGAGTAGCTAAAATTAAATGATCGTTTCCTTTTTTGTGTAAACGCAATCAGTAATAAATTCATAGGATAATCTTCATCATAATATATAATTAAATAGTATAATACAACAATATATTTATATATATAAGTATAAAGTAATAACAAAAATTAATAAAATACATCTAATAATTTAATCTTCTGTTTATTTCCATATCAGATTCGGTAACACGATCTTGGTTTCTGTACGGTCGAGGCTTGTCTTGATAATCTCTTATGCGATCATTGTACCTCTCAATCTGTTCTTGTAAAATTCTATGTTCAATCTGTAAAACGTCATTACTTTATAGAATATTGTTTAATTGGTTTTAATCATTTAAGTCCTCACAGTCGCCTACCCGTGGATGGCGACCAAGATGATCACCTCCCTATAATGTATTTAGGACGAGTGCAGTTAATAGTTTTTCTAAAGACAATATCAAAATTTATTCCTACTGTGAAATCATGATGTTTTAAAACCATATAGTTTATTATTGATTTACTGAAAAATTCCAATTTTATATATTTTAAATTAAAAATATTTAGTCGAAATTTTTGTTTAAATAAAAATTATTAAATAAGAAATTATTGTTCAGAGAACAAATTTTGTGAGTTTCACTTTAAATATAAATTATCAAAAAAATGAAATATGATAATATGAAAAATATTCAACTGTTTATTTATCGTGATGTCATCCTAAATCTACTTTATTAAAAAAATAATTTTTTTTAAAAATAAAACGGTAGCACAGTGGGGTCGAGGCACAGTGTAGACAAGGCATAGATGGGACAAGTATAGATGATATTTGACAGTGATTTAAATCACTATCATAAGAAACGCTTCGATGCAAATCTGTAGATAGTATTTCATTTTAAAAAAAAATTTGTTAAAATAGCATATTTTTGAATACGGTAGTAAGTTGAAAAAGTTATTTTTTGTAAAAAAGTTACTATTTTAAATCCCCCCAGTGAACAGAATAAGTGGTAGATTTCCAAAAAAAATTATATCAAATGAAAGGGAAATATCTAAGGTTTTAATACAAAAAAATATTATTTTTATTTGTTAATTTTTGAAAAAGTTATGGCAGTTTTAAGCACAAAAAACATCCCGATAAAAGGTAATTTTTATCGCAATCATTACATTTTTTTTTAATTTTCGACAGCCATTTGCACATAGAAGATAGATCGTCGGGACAAATTTTTTTTTTTTATTTTATAGTACATATAATAAGCTTTAATTTTATATATGTTTAAAGGACGCAGTATTTCCGGAACACTTTCAAAAGTTCAGTTGAAAAAGATCTATGTTTTTTACAATATTTCAAGTTTTGAACGCCCCCTATATAAGGGGAAATTGTCTAATTTTAATAAAATGTATTTCAGATGAAAGATGTACTTATAATGTATTTAGAAAAAAAAAAATTGTGCTGATACATACATTTTTCAAAAAGTTATAGCATTTTTAAGTTGAAAATTAAAAATCGAAAATCTAAAATTTTAACGCAAAAATAGCGTTTTTTTAACTACGGCAGCCGTTTAAATGTAGAAGAAAAAGTGTCGGGACAAATTTTTTTTTTTCATTTTGTAGAACATAAAATAAGCTTTAATTTGATATATGTTTGAAGGACGCAGTATTTCCGGAACATTTTCAAAAATTAAGTTGAAAAAGTTAATTTTTGTAAAAAAGTTGCTACTTTAAATCCCCCCTAATGAGCAGGTTAAATGATAGATTTTCAAAAAAATAATATAAAATGAAAGATAAATATCTAAGGTTTTAGTATAAAAAAAAATTATGTTGATTTGTTGATTTTTCAAAAAGTTATGGAAGTTTTAAGAAAAAAAAGTGAAAAAATTTCAAAAATTAGCGATTTTTAAATTTGTAATTTTTTTGGATATTTCCCCCATTTGCGGGGAACGAGGGAATTTTTTTCAATTTTTAAGGGTAATGTCTTCAACTAGATACGATTTGTGATCTTTTGACGTATTTTTGAAAGAAATCGGTCCAGTGAGAGCTGAGAAAAAGTGGCAACAGACATAAAAAAAAAAAAAAACACATCATAGTAAAATTAATACCTTCTCCGCTTTGCATCGAAGCTAAAATAATGACTGTTCCATACAACTAAAACATGAAATAGTATATCCTTATAGATCGTCAAAAATTACAATATTTATTGTGTAATACTTTTTTTATATATAATATATATATTGCATTAAATAATTAAATTTAATGCAATATAAAAATAGATTTAAAAATTTTTGAAGGCCTAATATATGGTAGTCAATAGTTATTTTATAATTATCCCCCAATGAATTTTATGTACAAATTATTCGCAATAAGGTTGTTATTTATAGTGAAGTAAATCAAAATCATATTCTTTTTTGTAAAAATCAAGTTTTAAACTTTCCAAAAATAATATCCTTAAGGTTCTCTTAGTTGTACAGTCTTTTTATATTATTACATATTAAACACATAAATGTTTACACTTATGAGATAATTCATTTCAATAAGTTATTTAATATTTATGATGTACGCAATGCTAAAGGCGTTTTAAGGTACTCACCATTGCTCGTTCTTCGTCGAATTCTAAACAACCAGTCCCATCCAACTTGTCCAAATCAATCCGACCTTTCCATCTTACACACACACCATTCATTATAAAGTGTGACAGTATGTGAACCTGTGTGGGCATAGAAAAATCAGCACCGATTAGTTTTCTCAATCTATAATATATTGTAGGAATGTTACACAGCACAAAATAAGATCAAACACTTATTACCTTACCCCACATTTATTACTCAACGTGTAGACTTTGACGCAACAAATTAACGCTAACACGACTTATTATATATTAACAATTGATCACTTGTGGCTAATATAAGCCACAAAAATTACTTAATTAAAAAATTATTCTCTTTTATCGTTAAGTTACCAATAAAATGGAAACGTTATTCCCGAAATACGTATCCGCGACTATTCAGTAATTTTTGTGGCTTTTTGAATAAAACATCTTTTAGTTTTAATTTAATATTATCACTTGGAGCATATTTTTTTAAGAATGCATCTTATTAACTGTTCTGTGCAACCAACTCCATGTAGTGTTGGAAAAAAGTAATAATATAATCGAAATACGGCTGACACCAAAGGTATAAGATACGATAAAATAATAAAATTAGTATGGGGCCTTGGCAAATTAGAAAAAAAAACAAAAATATTAAAGTAGACGATACACACAGCCGCCGACAAGACCGTAAACAATAATTTATGTGACCCCTATTATAGTATAAAAAGGAGGAGTAGACGGACAGCTATAGAGTACCGCTTAAAGCAGCAATAAAATCGTCGATAAATTTTATTCATCCAAGACACAAATGGCCTCTTATGTTAGTCATATGTGATTGCTCTTGGACAATATTTTCGAGAAAATATACCTTTTTTATTATTATTTTTTTTCCTTCATTAATACCAAAACGAGTACTCTAACAACGCACAAAACCTTGTGTACTATTAGCATGGGCACGATTCGTTTATTAAAAATATGAAAATTTTACTGATAAACAATAAAATAATTTTTTTTTTTATGAATATTATATCATCTATTGTACAAAGTGTTACGGTTTCTTTGAAGACATTTTATTTATTGAAGAAACAGATTATTTGATGTACATTAACATTTTGAAGGAGTTTCTAAGAAATGTAGTCCTATGCTAACTAAAATAACTCTACAGACCTACTTCAATCTAGAATGTAGAATAATAGCAATGTTTAGATGAATATACAGACCCCCGCGACCTTTTGTTTACACATATCCAATTAACAGCGAAAAACCTTTTGGAAAACCGACTGAACGGGAGTCTATTGTTTTTGCCCCGACGAGTGTATTATGCTCAATTAAAAAACAATACAGCCACGTGCTCTCAAGACGTGTGCTTCTCATTAGTAAATGTCGCACAACAAAACGACCGTTGCTCGTGACAATGATATTTGTGAAAGGTCTGCGCAGTCACGGTCATCAGTCCGCCATGTATTATTAGTTATCGTTTTTGAAAGCAGATAAGCTTTGTTGTGGCAGCGTGAGAAAAACACAGTTTACCAGGAAATCGACAGTATTGATATCATCTCCTATTGCGTAAACACGCCATTATAATAATTTAATTAGTTCACTAGTATTTGGAGTCACGAGTAAACTTTTGTTATGCCCAAAAACTGTAAACAGCTAAGATCTGAATGGAACGATTAGTCCGCAACGGGGAACTGAAATCAGCAACGCGACCACCTTCGTGGATTCCATCGAGCGAATAGATACCTCAGAAAATCTTTCATAATCCTCCCAATAGTCGATAGTACAGAAAATACTCACTGGTATTGAGCAAGGTATATACGTTTGTGCGATTTTTCTTGTTTCGCGTGTAAACGTTATTGGAGGCGATGAAACGGAGATCCTTAGCAAACAAACGTCGCGCCCATTGTGAAACGATACCTGTAACTGGATAGAACACAGTGCAAAAGAAAACGATCCTATTCCGGACGAGGTAAACACGGGCAACCCTTTTTTTGATCTGCACAAGTTTCAATAGCTAAAGTCACGAGAAACCGGATCAATGTCAAGCGAGCAAACAATGAACGCGTCTTTGTCGTACAACAGACACTTTGAAATGCAATTTCGAGGGATTTAAATCCTATCAAATGTATGAAAGCCACCCTTCTAGATCACATTCCTAATAAACTCTCAGCTGCCAAAATTTACAGTTTTGTTCGCCCAATCATCACATTATTACAAACGTCTATGTTGGTCGACACATAGCAACGAATTTGATTTCAATTGACACCGTTATTACACGGTACTATTATTACATTCAAAACGCGTTGAACGGTCAAGATGACGACGACGACACAACTGATAACATAATTTTATGATAATGTAGCCGACCGTGGCTACCACACACATTACTCCTAAAGTACGATTTTTATCTTTATGATCCATTAGTTTCGGTTGTCTTCCGTAACGCGCATTCATCTCAATTACTGGACCGGAGGCGCGAGGACCGCTATTAATAATGATAATAAAACACAATTTGTTCTTTTTAAAGTGCCCGACGTGGATAATTGTCGACACGAAATGCACGACGTTGCATATGAGCCTGAAGAGTAATAAAAAGGGTTTGGACATTGTTCATCATGTGCCGCGTGGTAAAAAAACCCTTTCACGTAGTACTTTTGTAATTTGATTTGTCACGAGTTTATCACACGAACGCGTCCAGGTCATAAATTCATGTAAAACACGCCGTGACACGGTTTGTCCGAATTAATCCGTGAAAAGGCCGAAACGTTATCTCTCAATCATTGCAACGGACAAAGTACAAAAATCAACCCCAGTAGCAGTTCAAAATTTAAACACTCGAATCCAAATCAGTATCGAATGGTATTCAAAAATAATAAGTTTAATTTTCCATAGCTATATATTTTTTAATCAGAAAATGGATACGACTTGAAAATATCTATGAGTGTTTATTGTTTGTTGGACATATTTCTGTGATCACAAACAGTCACATAAATATATTCAAAAAACGATCTCTTGTGACAATTCAGGTTTACTGTGTAAGAACATTTATTACTATATTCTTACTGTTCATATTATATACGTTGTGTTTTTATTCACTCTACTGCCTACTGACAAACTGTACTAGCATTCATGTCAGACATATTGTACATTATATGTAATTCATATTTGATGAATATTTAAAATATATTAAGGAGATAGCGACAATATTTGGGCAGACGTCGGGTAGCTTCCGATTCTTAGTTGGTACTGAATATTAAACGAACCCCTTAAAAAAAGCAAACGGATCTTACTTTTCATTTCAGTGTGCCTCGTTCGTTTCTTGTACTCGCATACATTATAAACATCGCGGTAGTTGAATTCCTCGTATGCAACCTTCGGATCGGAAATAATGTCCGCAGACAGGGCCACCCAGTCGAGCTGAAGCTGGTCGTGGCGATACTCCGAGATCACGATAATAATAATTATTATATCATTATTACATTATTACTACCTCACTGTCAATGTGAAGTCATGTATAGGCACAGTCCTTTCGCATTGATTTATTTCTCTTTACCTCTCTCCCAATCGTTAAGACTTCAGGGATCACTGCAATGATGCGAAGCGAAAACCATGTAAAAGTAATCGGATAGGTAAATTTAATCTTCAACGTACACGACGTGTTCAGTAATAATATTTTGCGGTTGAAACGGCCGCCGCGCCGTGGTTAACTGACTTGAGCCCTTTGTTTTTGTTTGTACAGTCAAAACAACATTACACCAGTAAGCTGGAATTCCGAAAGAATGCACCTTGACATGACATTAAAACTTCAAACCGCATATTTTTTGGGCTATCTAATATATTATTTTTAAGCACGGTAGACCCCAACTGTAAATCACAGTAGAAAATAGACTATACAGTAGTCATTAACCCATGCACGTGTACATGCATATTATGTTGTAATAATGTGTAGATATTTGTTTGTTTCTATGCAATGTTTTACATCGATCTAAACTGAGCCTGAAACTGTTCTGAGATGGAAATAGTAGTGTATGCCGAGTTGTTCCAACTCAACTTTTCCATAACACATTTATCATTTGATTAATTTTTAACAGCAGTCGGAACCGCTTTCAATAAAGGTCGTCAGAATATTTATGGCCGAATCGACTAAACGAGACTCGTGAAATGAATAAAATTCGCATGGACTATTGACTGTAAAAGCAAAACTAATCGGATCGACAATAACATTTTTTTATACGCGGTCTTTACTTGTGAAATTGGAACAGCGATAAACGGACACCGAAACGAAAGGGTTTATACGCCAATAAAGTATAGGGTTATATACATGTTAAACTGACAGATGATCGAGTACATGTAGGATCATTGAGTATACCGAAGAGTATAGTCGCTAAATATAACGTTTGTTAAAATAACCAGTTAAAATACAACTCCGACGGTAGTTGTTTTACCCAAACTGACTATTGAATTGTATAGGATCATTAAGAATATAACTAGTCATTTCCAAACATGTAAGAACGACATAGTTGTACATGGCGTAAGGTGAGAATCTTTTTTTTTTTTTACTTGTTCGCTAATGAACCAGTAAAATAAACGTTGTAATTTCGCAAGAGGGTCCCGATGACAACAATAATTATTTGGAATTGAATGCGTATGTGTCTAGTGCGCACTAGTCATCAACTAGAGGGTAAATAAAATACGCGAAATAATAGCAATAGTTAAAAATAAAAAGGGGTAAGGAAATAATCGAATAACCCAACCCGCAGTGTACCGCGACGTGTGTGTGCGTTCTCCAGCTGAGAAATTCTTCCGGGTCGACGCGCGTTCTCAATTGATTTATTAGTAATGAGCGTTTTGTCGATCGTCGGACGTATATCTTTGTCAGCGAATAGTAAGCCCTAAAACTAATTGGACCCATTAAAACGAATAGACGCGAACCTATTGAAAGTCACCCATAGGCCAAAATTACAGTAGATGAACTGTTTTTGGAGCAAAACGACATCTTTACAACTGTTGTCGGTGCAGAACGACAAATTAAACAATTAATACTACTCGGTTTTAGTTCCCACATGTGTAGTTTTTTATTATTTAAAAATAATTCGTGGGTACCTTGAATGGTTCGG